CATGGCGGTGCCTTCTCCAGGCTGGGTCGCCTCTCCCAAGACAGCCATGCCTAGCCCTGGGGTCTCCCAGAATAAGCAGCCGCCTCTCAACATAAACTCTTCCTCTACGCTGGGCAACATGGAACAGGGTGAGTCATTTGGGTGGACTTGGGTTTGAGCCTTTGTGGTGGCGGATAGGTTCCTGCAGGGCCTTTAGTGGCAGCTGTCCCTACACAGAGCTTCTGTATAGGTACATCTGGGCATCTTGAAGGGTCCACTTGGGACTTGAATCTCCCCACTACAGGCACTGCTTAAAGGTGTGTGGGTCACTGGGGGATCACAGGGAGTCTGTGTTCAGTGGGGCATAGGTGTCCCTGAAGTGAGGTAGACATTTGGAAGGAATTGGCCTTTCCTTAGACGGAGTATGAGTGGCCAAATTCAGCCTCCCTTCCCCAGTGACCCCTGCTCTTTCTGTCTCTCCACTTCTGTAGGTACCCTCCCTCCAAGCGGCTCTCGGAACAGTTCCTCAGCGCCTCCTGCCAACCCTCCCAGTGGCCTCATGAACCCCAGCCTACCGTTCACATCCTCCCCAGACCCCACCCCTTCCCAGAACCCTCTGTCACTGATGATGTCTCAGATGTCCAAGTATGCCATGCCCAGCTCTACCCCGCTATACCACAATGCCATCAAGACCATCGCCACCTCAGACGATGAGCTGCTGCCAGATCGACCCCTGCTACCCCCTCCACCACCGCCGCAGGGCTCTGGACCAGGTATGAGGAGGCAAAGCTTCCAGGAGAGGCGACGTCCCTGTGGACATGCTGGCAAGCTTCCACAGTCTCCAGTCATGGGGGTGGTGTAAACTCTGGGGCCCTGTTCCAGTCGCTACCGTCACTTCCTGAGACCTGGACTAGAACACATCTGTGGGTGGGGAAGGGTGGGGGAGGCGCCTTCCCGAGCTGGATGGGCACCACCTCGAATGTTCTCTTCTTTCCCCACAGGTATCAGCAATAACCAACCCAACCAGATGCACCTGAACTCTGCTGCTGCCCAGAGCCCCATGGGAATGAACTTGCCAGGCCAGCAGCCCCTGTCCCACGAGCCCCCGCCTACTATGTTGCCCTCCCCTACCCCTCTGGGGTCCAACATTCCACTGCACCCCAATGCACAGGGGACAGGGGGCCCTTCTCAAAACTCAATGATGATGGCCCCGGGAGGCCCAGACTCCCTAAATACCCCTTGTGGCCCTGTGCCCAGCTCCTCCCAGATGATGCCCTTTCCTCCTCGGCTACAGCAGCCCCATGGTGCCATGGCCCCCACTGGGGGTGGGGGCGGGGGGCCTGGCCTACAGCAGCACTACCCATCAGGCATGCCCCTGCCCCCTGAGGACCTACCCAACCAGCCACCTGGTCCCATACCCCCCCAGCAGCACCTGATGGGCAAAGGCATGGCTGGCCGCATGGGCGATGCATACCCACCCGGGGTGCTCCCTGGGGTGGCATCTGTACTGAACGACCCAGAGCTGAGTGAGGTGATCCGGCCCACCCCTACCGGCATTCCTGAGTTCGACTTATCCAGGATCATCCCCTCTGAGAAGCCAAGCAGCACCCTCCAGTACTTCCCCAAGAGCGAGAACCAGCCCCCCAAGGCCCAGCCCCCCAACCTGCATCTCATGAACCTGCAGAACATGATGGCGGAACAGACCCCCTCTCGGCCCCCCAACCTCCCGGGCCAACAGGGGGTCCAGCGGGGGCTCAGCATGTCCATGTGCCACCCTGGACAGATGTCCTTGCTGGGCAGGACAGGTGTGCCCCCACAGCAGGGCATGGTGCCCCACGGCCTGCACCAAGGAGTCATGTCCCCACCACAAGGCCTCATGACCCAGCAGAATTTTATGCTAATGAAGCAACGGGGTGTGGGGGGCGAGGTCTATACCCAGCCTCCCCACATGTTGTCCCCACAGGGCTCCCTCATGGGCCCCCCACCCCAGCAGAACCTCATGGTGTCCCACCCTCTGCGGCAGCGCAGTGTGTCTCTGGACAGCCAAATGGGCTACCTCCCAGCGCCGGGCGGCATGGCCAATCTACCCTTCTAGCAGGCCCCTCAAGGGGCTGGGGATACTGAGAATATGTTAACTTTAAGAAGTTTTTTTTCCTCCAGTGTTGGAATGGATGGCCTGGGTCCAGGGGTAGGGTGGAGGGGTGGGAAGGGACTTGTGTGGGGAGTGGCATTTGTGGAAACCTGATGTGCTGGCAGCTTAGGGGGAAGAGGCAAGAGTCGGGTGGGGAGTTGGAATTGGGTTTTGACCAGGACTGCCCCTGCCCCCTTTCCTGTTCCTGTGGGGCTTCTATTTCCCTCTGTCTTTCTGCTTCTCTCCGTTTTCAGCTATGTTTGGGGGCCCTTGGGGAGAGAGGAAGGAGAGGAGGGGTCTTCCATCTTCTGTCCCTTTGGAACTGTCACCTTATAGGTGCTCCAGGTCCATTGTCTCCTCCCAGTTTTTCCCCTTTCCCCGTCTGTCTTCATTTCCTCTCCCTGCTGACATGGCTGACCTCCTCTCCCACGCCCCCTGCAGGTGGGCAGGTGGGCAGGTGCCAGCGGAGCTGTAAATAGAGCTGCGCTTTCGTGCCGGTTTGTGCGTGTGCCGTATTTCTGTGTTTTGATAGAAGTCACACACAAAAAAGAAAAAAATTTAAAAAAAACCCTTCCCCCTCCTTCAAAATGATCGCTCCCACCATTCGCCTGGACCCAGAGACGTACAGTCCTCTGCACCCTCCATATGCCCCACCCATCAACTGAGGTCAGACCATCTAGGCTAGGCTTCCGTTTGGTGAGCAGGGGGAGGAGGCCTCCCCCCTTCCCCTGCTATGGCCGCCTGTCTGCTGCTGAGTGAATTCCGGAGAGCAGGTGTGCTCCTGAGCGTGTGTTTACCTACACCAGTGACATAGGGCCCCTGCCTGGGTGCCTCTGCTGCTACATCTTAGCCAGAACTTGAAGCCCTTTGTCCCCTGGGCAGGTGTGGCCCCTTTGGAGCTATGTAGGGGTTAGCACAAGTGACTGCGGCCTATGACTTCAATGGCCTCCGGCCAGGTAACCCCATAGGGCACAGACTCTTCTAGAAACCACCACTTGCTTCTCACCAAAGAAGGAAGGGACAGAGTTTGGCTGAGTCAGTCAGTCTCCCTCCAATCTCCACCCCTAGCATGGAGTGAGGAAAGGCAGTGTGGGGGAGAACATCCTGCTGCCTGTCCACTCTGGCAAGGTCTTTCTGTCCAGGGTTCAGGGCCATGTACCAGATCTGTCTATGCCCTCCCAGGCACAGCCACTGCCTCCCTGTTACTTCCCAGGAGAGCCCCTCACCCACCGCTGGTCAGACTGAAGCCATACAGGAATGGGTGTTTTATCTCCCGTGGCCCCAGGAGTAAAATACTTCTCCTTTCCCCACTTCCTTTTTCCTGCCTTGTAAGGTGGCGGGCAACTCCTTGGCCAAGGCCTTTCCTGCCCTGCCTCCAGGGCCAAGGGCCATTCTAGACAGGGTGTCTTTTACCAGGACCCTGTCCCCAGCCTTCCTGACCTGCAGGGCCTGGTTTTGCCTTGGCAGCTGTAATACAAAGGGAATTTGTGTCCACTTCTCCCAGTCTGGTGCTGTCCATTGTCAGCCGGGTCAGGCACCGCTCCCCTCCAGAGCTGGCTGCAGGCCCTTGGCTTCCCTCGCCCCTCCCAGGGACCAGAGCCAAGGTCTCTGTGTTGAGAGGTGGGTGGAAACCTGTCCTCCTTCCTGCCAGACACTCTGCCCTCCCTGGGCCTTGTGCCCCCCACCCACGTTCCTAACCTATCCAAACGGTCTAACTGCCCTGCTCTGAGGAGAGAGCGCAGGCCACAAAGGGCCCATTGTCCCCTTCTGGTGTCCTTGTCTCCCACCTCTACCACTAGCTTCCCAAGGTGATCTCCACAGGCCAGCCTTCTCCTCTCCATCCATGGCCATACCCCAGCCATTTTGTACCATTATATAAATATATATATAAATATAAATATATAAATACAATATGTGAAGACATCTTCTTGGTTTTTATTTTGAAACACTTTTTAGGCTTGCTCTGGGGGTCTCTGTGCTGCCTGACTGTATTGACCTGTTTTATAGGTGCCTTTTTATTAAAAAGAAAATTCAAAAATGTAAAAAATGTAATCTCTTGCCTTTTTGTTTCTGTGTCTGGTTTCTCTGCTGGCCAAACTGGCTGTCGGGTACTGGGAACAGAAAAGGGAATCCCAAGATGTCTCCAGTTTGCAGTGAGGGTATAGTCTCTGCAACTATAGAACTGATTTCCCTAGTGGGGTTCCCCAGGGAGCTTGTCTGACTGGCTTGAGTGGTACCCGGCAACCCAGCTTCCCTCCAACCCCCTTTCCCTCCTAAATCAGTGGCCCGGAGGAGGAGGAGCTCAGAATTGCCTGTTAGGCTTCCCCTAAGCAGGTGTGGAGCAGCTTCCTCCGGTTCCATTTGAGTAGTACCCTCCCAGGGGCACGGTACCTCCTTCCTGGGGCTGGGGGACTTCCCTGCTCAGGTTGGCTTCTCACATTGCCCTCCCCTGCCCTCCTCCCTCTCCCGCCTAATGAAGACAAGGATCTGTTTCTATTTTCTTTTTTCCCCCATTTTATTCATTTATTTATCTATCTATTTATTTTTGTTTTTTGAGACAGGGTTTCTCTGTATAACAGCCCTAACTATCCTGGAACTTGCTTTGTAGACCTCAAACTCACAGAGATCTGAGTGCTGGAATTAAAGGTATGTGCCACCAGGCCCGATCAGTCTTCATTTTCTTAGCTAAACGCCCCCTCTTCTGAGGCTAGAACCCCTTTGCTATTTTACTTTCCACGGGTCCTGAGGATTACAGCAGGAGAGAGAAGTTGTCCTCCTTCCCCTTCAGTGCCCAGAAACCACTAGGGCCCTGGATCTTATCTCCTGACCAAGTCGGGAAGCTTTGGTTTCTGGACAGAGAAGACAGCTGGGTTTCAGTTTTACTTGCTCCTCTTTGGAGTCTGGAGCCAAAGTATCTTTCCATTTCTCCACCGGACTGCTTGACTGCTGGCTTGTCCTCTACTCTTCTTAGGACACTGGCTAGCCTCCGGGGCCTTCTGGAGTCTGTCCTTGGTCTGTAGTCCAAGATCCAGTAACGTGGGGCCAACCCGATGCTGGTTTGGTTGGAGCTAGACAGCTGCCTAAAGTAGATCAGTCTCAGTTTCCTGTTTGCTTAAGAGAACAAACAGCAGGGTTGAAGGGCTGGCACAAAGCTTGTGTTTTGGAGACAGGCATGGTAAGGTCACACTCTGCTGCCAGCTGGCTATTCCTCGGTGGAATAGAAGTGGTGGGTAGCTGTGGCATGTGGCAACCTTTTAGATGATGGAGTGCATTGTGGGAGGAGATCCTGGGGTCCATGACCAGAGGGAGATGAGACTGTAGGCGCCGCCGGCCGAGTGGTTTTTCCTATGGCTGGGGAGAAATAAAGCTGATTCTCACATTTGGCTGGTTAGGATGAGAGGTATGTGGAGGGCTCTTAGCCAAGGTGATGCAGGCAGTCTAGATAGTCCTTGCTCTGCCTTTGGGCTGCTTTCCTCTTCCAGGGCTCCCAGTTAGCCTGAGGGCTGGCAAAAGAGCTTAGGGACATTCTAGAGTTCTCTAGCTGTCCCATCTGGGGACATGGCCCAAACAAGCTCTTAGAACCCCAGGTTTCTAGCATCACTCCAGGCTACCAAGGCAAACAAACGGAAAGGGGGTTGTGGAAGTTCTAGAAGGTGGTGAGAGAGGTGGCGTTCTCCGACTCAGAGAGACTGCTCTTGCGCCAGCTGGGGAAAACTTGGCAAAGGGAGGCTGGGCCAGCACAGCCCAACTTTGTCAGAAGCCGAGACAAGTCACTGCGGAACTTTACACCAGCGAAGGTGTAGAGCATGGGATTGAGACAGCAGTGGGCCAGGCCCAGGAATTCACACACGGTGATGGCCACGGAGAGATAGCCACTCAGTTCGCAGCTGCTGTCCACAGCCTTCAGTCTCTCCAGTGTGTCTAGGAAAATGACAACGTGGTAGGGTGACCAGCAAAGAAAGAAAATACTTGTCACTAAGATGGCCACCCTGACTGCTTTCTGCCGCTGAGGACGCCGCTGGGCCTGACAGAGTCTGTGTATCACCCCCACGTAACACCAGCCCATCACCAGCATTGGTAGCAGGAAGCCCCCAATGTGGTAGAGGAAACGGGAGGTGAACCAGGCTTTGGTTTCAGCTTCGTTCTCTTGAGAGAAGGTGCACTGTGGCAGGGAGTCATTGTTATGAGGTTGGCCGACCTTGGCAAAGAGGACTTCTGGCAAGGCAAACAGGAAGCCGGCCAGCCAAATGGTGGCGCAGGTGATGTGGATGGAGAAGAGGCGGCGGCGGCGGTAGGCGTGGACAGCGTGGACGATGGCCAGGTAACGGTCTACGGCTATGCAGGCCAGCAGCAGGCTGCTGCAGTAGAAATTGATTTTGTGCAGCGCGATCACAACTTTGCAGAGCACGGTCCCGAGGACCCAGCCCACAGAGCCCTCAGCCACTGCAAAAGGCAGGATAAAGACCAGGAGAAGGTCAGCTACAGCCAGGTGGAACAGGAAGGTCTCGGTCGAGCTTCGAGTATGCCGGTGCCGCTCCAGGATCACAAGCACCAGGATGTTTCCCATCATCCCCAGGAGGAAGATGAGGCTGTAGGCCACAGGCATGAATATCGCCTTGAAGGAGGTCAGTAGGGGTCCCTCCTCTGTGGAACAGAAGTGACTTTCCTGTGAGGGGATCTCCGTGCTGCTATTGTAGATGGCCCATTCCTTGTACTGCAAGGACAAAGAGAAAGAAAAATAAGAAACGATAGCCCTATCTTTTCTCTCTGAGAGGAAACTCTCTGGGATGTTTCCTGTCCTAGGCTAACTGCTTCTTGTCTGCACTGTTCCATTTCCCCTTGGTGTATCCTTGAACAAATGACGTCATCTTTCCCTTCCTTCTTTCGTTCGTTCGTTCCTTCCTTCCTTTAATTTTTAATCTTAGACAGGATTTCCCTAAATGTCCCTAGGGACATATCTGAAATTTACTACGTAGACCAGGTTGGTCCCAGATTTGAGTGGTTCTTCTGTCTCTGACTGCTTGAGGTATAATCTCTCTCTCTCTCTCTCTCTCTCTCTCTCTCTCTCTCTCTGTAATCTTACTCCTATTTTACAGATGCCTCTCCCTCAAGAGGAGGCTTGATTGAAGGAACATTTGCCTGTCTCCAGAACCACTACCTCAGCCATTGAGCTACACTACCTCGGCGTCCCTGCAAAGACTACTGGGGAAGGGGCAGAGACTGAGTTTCCAGTTACTTCCCAACCAGAGAGCAAACTCCCTAGGCACAGGAACCCAGCAGAGTCAAAAATGAGTCACAGACAGGGAGCTCAGGCACAGGGAAGGAAGGGAGCCTGTTCTGAGTGGAAAAGCAGGGGGAGTACCTGTTACATCTCTGGAACTTGCTACCTCCACATCCTCCCTGCCCTTTGTTGCCGCCCTCCATCAGCCGGGCTCTCCGGTTGTTTGCCTGCTAACCACAGAGGAAGACAGAGTGCCTGTTTTCATTCCTTTCACTCACAGCTGCTCTGCACCTGCTCTTCCTCACCTCCCTCTCTGCTCTTCCTGCCTTCCCCTCGCCGACCTCCTCCGAGGAGGGGGGCTGGTGCAGAACCAATTACACTCACCCAACAGTGGGTTCAAAAGACAGTGATGGGAAGGGGCCCCAGGGAGGCCAGAGACAGTGGGTAGTCTGTCCCCTAGGCTCGGGGGGGGGGAATTCACTCTGACCCTCTTTCAGGAGAGTGGGTCCCCTGCAAGCTGTGATGCCTTCACCCGTTACCTCAGAGCTTTCTTGCCACCCAGGCACCCTAGTTGTAGGCCACACACTCACTTCCATGGGTAAACCTATTCCTCATCTTGGTCTTTTGGTCCCTGGAGCAGGTGGTTCTTTAAGAAGGAGTGGGGACACGTGCTACAATGGTGATGCTATCTACCACCCTCTTCAGTGTCTCCTCCTCCTGCCATTACCTCAGCACCACCCTTCATGTGATCTCTCTATGAATCCTTTTTTTAAAAAAAATATTACTGGGTGGTGGTGATGGATGTCTTTAATCCCAGCACTAGGGAGGCAGAGGCAGGCAGAGCTCTGTGAGTTTGAACCCGGCCTGGTCTACAAGAGCTAGTTCCAGGACAGGCTCCAAAGCTACAGAGAAACCTTGTCTCAAAAAAAAAAATTCTTTTTAAAATTTTATTTTGTGTGTATGGGTATTTTGCCTGTATGTATATATAAGTAGGATGTGTGTGCCTGGTGCCCTTAGAGGTCAGAAGAGAGCCTTGACTCCCCTGAAACAAGTTAAAGGTGGTGTAATCACCATGTGGGTGCTGAGAACTGAACCCCAGTCCTCTGCAAGAGCAGTCAGTGCTCTTAACCACACAGCCATCTCTGCAGCCTTCCAGGTCCTTTTCTTGTTTGTTTGGTTTGGTTTGGTTTTTCAAGACAGGATTTCTCTGTAGCTTTGGAGCCTGTCCTGGAACTAGCTCTTGTAGACCAGGCTGACCTCAAACTCACAGAGATCCGCCTACCTCTGCCTTCCGAGTGCTGGGATTAAAGGCATGTGCCACCACTGCCTCTCCGTGTTCTTTTCTAACTACCTTTTCTATCCTTGTCCACTTTCTTCCCAGTGGACAGAGAGAGTTTTCTCGTACACAGATCCTAGCCATGTGCCGCGCAGAAATCTGAGGTGAGAGGATGGTGTAAGTTTGAGTTCTTTTACCAGTGTAGCCAGACTCTGTCTTGAAAACAAACAAAAAACTACACAGATCCATAGTCTGAGTGTCCAGTTTAGAGTCTTTAGTGGTTCCCCATCACATATAAGAAATAGTTGTCTTGCTGGGTGGTGGCGGCGCAGCCTTTAATCCCAGCACTCGGGAGACAGAGGCAGGTGGATCTCTGTGAGTTCGAGGCCAGTCTGGTCTACAAGAGCTAGTTCCAGGACAATTAGAGCTGTTACACAGAGAAACCCTGTCTCCAAAACAAAACAAAAAAAAGTTGTCTTTTTGTCTTTGTCTTGTTTTTTTAAATTTCATATTCAATAATAAAGTCATTTATAAAAAGCCATTTTTGTGATAATGTCTGTCAGCAGAAAGATGGGTCAAGTCAAGCTTCACACAGCAGAATGCAGCATGTACTTGAAAGAAAATTAAGTTTACAGTGTGTCTGTTCTCTTAGGGAAAGACTTTGAACACACATGGCTCAATTTCAGAACCAATAAAAGGGCGTCCATACAGCACAAAGGTCTGGGGTGGTAAGCACATCACCGAAGTGCCTGGGGCTGGGGTTCCCAGCTCCTCTCCTTACCTTTAAACTAGAGAGCTTCACTTTTGACTCCATGGTCGAAACAAACAAACAAACAAACCACAGAGTCGGCTAGGCATGGGGTGGCACATGCATTGGGGAGACGGGACAGAGGATCAGGAGATCAAGGGGGCTTTCATATACAGAAGTTCCAGGCTAGCCTATGCTGCTTAGGTCCCTATAACAAACAAACAAACAAACAAACAAACAAACAAACAAGGCTGTCCATTTCTGGAGTAGAGCACTTGCCTACCACGGACAAAACCAGAGCCTGTGTATGAGGAAAACGGAACTACACTCTAGGAAATAATGGTCCTGTGAAATGGGGTCTGGATGCCCCAGAGAGAAGGCCTTACATTCCTCTAAAAGGGACTGAGGGTGTATCTCAGCAGGTAGGATGCTTACCTAGCATATACAGAGCTGATTTTGAGCCTTAGCCCTGCAAAAATAAAAATAAAAATTTCCAAAATGTCTACTCCTTTGATGTGTCAAACATTACCTACTGTTATCAGGTACCCTGTGCCTAAGACATGCATTCTACCAGCTGCCTGCCCTCAACAACCCAGACAGCTTCCTGACACCTTTGCCAAGTTCTTCCTTGTTCAAGTCTGCTTCTCTAAACCCCTGGCCTTCCTTCGGGGCCCAAGTCAACCCCATCATCCTCCATCCTTCCTAGCCCACTCTGCTAGGAATTCCTGACTGCCTAGGGCTCAGCAGGGATTCACATCTCTGCATCTTTCTGTAAATCCTGCCTCTGGGGTTTAACTTAGGTTCCCTGTCCCTATAGGGAGTTGTTTCCAATAGAACAGCTGAACAGAATAGTTGAAGACAGCCTTTTGACTCTGACTCTACTATCGGAGGTGGAGGGGACACTGTGGGGTGAGTGGTCCTTGTGCAGACAGATGGCAGAGAGGTGATGAAGGCCTGGGACAGGGAGGCATCTCACCCTGGCAGCTGCTGAAGCTGGCCACTCCGCTGTCCAGGGAAGTGTGTGAGTCTAGCTGGTCTGACCAAGGGGCCCTTTATGATAACTGTTCAAGTTTTCACCGTACAAAGCCTCTAGGTTGATCAACTCATTGTTCATTCAAAGTCCAATCAGTGGGACATTTCCATGGGGGCAGGTTTAGGGGGTGAGTGTCTACCTCTTCCTCCCTGCCAAGAGGTATTGTTTTGGCAGAGTCTTTAGAGGAGGAGAAAATGGGAGGAAGTAGTTTGGTACATATCAAAGGGAGGCGTCAAACAGATGATTCGGAGCTCAAGAGTGTTAAAGCCACTTCCTAACCCTGTGTGCGGGGGGGGGGGGGGGCTCCTCTCCTCTAGACCATGGAGAGAAGCCATAAGGTAAGGTTGTCCCTGGCCTGGTGAATAGATGGGGAATGAGATACCCACAACACAGTGGGACACATACTGTCAAAGGGAGCTGCCTGGTTAACGCTCAGGGAGAGAACAGAGTCAGCGGTGGGATGAGTGGCTCACTCATTCTTTGCTGTAGAAGTGGCAGAAACCCTCATGTGTATCCCCACTGTGATGGCAGCACACACACTATACAAACATGCCCAGAGGGACCACAGCGCCATGCTTCATAGACAGGCACCCAACAGAGCACAAACAGCTTACAAGCTATGGGGATGTACGCCCCAGCAGAAAATGTGCTGCCTGCGACGAAGGCAGGTGTGAGTTGTCAGGAATGCACTGAGAACTCTGAGGCAGGAGGATGCCTAGCTGGTCCTGGTATTAGGGATGGGATAGGCAGAAGAGGTCAAAAGATACAAAGTGCTTCACCCATGATGGGATCTACAGATGGTTCTCTTTCTATCTGTGTTTTCTCTAAGTCAGGATGCTGCTTTGCAGCCTCGAGCCGGCTGCTAGGGCAGCCGTTCTCAACCTGTGGGTCGAGACCCCTGTGGAAATGGAACAGCCCTTACATAGGGGTCGCATATTAGATATCCTGCATATCAGATATTTACATTACAACTCTTAACAGTAGCAAAATTCCAGTGATGAGGTAGCAATCAAAACAATTTTATGGTTGAGGTCACCACAACATGAGGAACTGTATTAAAGGGTCGCAGCAAGGCTGAGAGCCACTGTACTAGGATTTACTGACAGGATTTCTCTGAGAGCAGGTAAGGGACATTCCTCGAGGTTCTACACTGGATTTTCCTAGCACCCAAGCCTGCTTTGGATGACGCATGGCTGGGGAACACATTTTTGTTTGTTTGTTTGTTTGTTTTTGTTTTTTTGTTTTTTGAGACAGGGTTTCTCTATAGTTTTGGAGCCTGTCCTGGACCTAGCCCTTGAGACCAGACAGGCCTCAAACTCACAGAGGTCTGCTTGCCTCTGCCTCCCAAGTGCTGGGATTAAAGACATGTGCCACCACCGCCCAGCCAACTGGGGAACACTCTTAATAAAGCAGAGTCCTCCATAAGCAGAGACCAGGGACTCACATTCACCAGGTGGAATTATTATAAGTCAGAGACCTGGACTGGGGTTTAACCTGTAGCCTCTCTTAGTTAGGAGGCTGAATCAGAAGGATCATTTGAACCCAACCTCGTCAACACACACACACACACACACACACACACACACACACACCCCTGTCTTGGGCAATGGATCATGGGAACAAAGACTTGGAGTTTGTTGGCTGACAGACAGGTCACCAGTGAAAAGGCTGGGAGAAGGCTGTCCTTGTCCTCTAGATGAGGGGAGGGAAGCCTTCTGGGGGTTGGTTATTTCTGTTTGGAAAACTCTGGCCTGGAAAGGTTTTTCCTGGTGCTAGGAAGGTGGGGGGGGGGGCACAAAAGAGAAGCCTGAAGTCCTTGAACTGTCTTCAAGGACTGGAAAGGGCCCTGGGTTGGGAGGACTGGCTGGGCTGGGCTCTGACATGAGCCTCAGGTGTAGACCAGGAGAAATGAACAGTCCGGCCAATGGAGAGACAGCTTTGTAAGCACGACTGTCCAGCAATGGGACGTCTTTGAGTTCAAGCGCAAGGGGAAAATTCCCACCTCAGGAAAGAGGCTGGACCATACATTCTGCCTCAGGAAAGAGGCCGGACCGCACACCCGCTTCTGCAGCTCACCAATGCTCTGGTTGTCAGTCGCGCCCTGCCATTCACCACGCCAGCAGGCTCCACTTCTCTAGCCTGCCCTGCAGCCGGTGAATGCCCCAGGCTACCCAGTTCCCAGCCCTGAGGAGCCAGCAGAGCTTCCGGCCCAGGACTCCAAGACCTGCACTGTGCTGTCCACTCTATCCACTCGCACAAGCTGAGCTGAGTTTTGCCGTTTTTTTCTTTGCAGTTCCAGGGATGAACCTAGGGCATTTCCCAAGCTAGACGAGTGTTTTACCACTGAACTGCATTTCCATTCGCTGCCCCTCGTTG